CCAGCCGCCGCTTTCGCTCGCCCCCACCGCACTCGGACGGGCTCCCAGAGGCGGGGAGTGGGGGAAGCAGGACAGAAACCAGAAGGACGGGAGGCGGGGGGGGGGGCGACAGCGAGGAAGAGGTGCAGAGCGGAAAAGGTGACGCGGGGCTGAGGGAAATGGGGCGTCTGGGGTGGAAGAGATTCAATAAACGAGGCAGAGGGGGAAGAAAGTTACAGTAGTGTTTGAGAGTAACTAAATTGCTATTTGATGGGAGATATCTTGTGGTTTCATTACAGAGGTGACAGAAATGAACGTAAAAAACGTGGAGGGGGGGGGGAATCAACAAAAATTTGAGAATCCGAGAATTGTTAATGTTTATTCGCAGATAACCTAAGCTCTAACAATATTGAAGATAAATGTTGGAGTGACATAACTGAAGATTTGCGGTTCATCATTTATCAACATTTGTGAAATCGCAGCTTGTGTTTGAAGACGAGACAACTATTTCAATTTTAAAACTTTAGGTTCAAATCCAGTCTTGAGACAAAATATCCGCGAATATCGATTAAGTAGTTTTACTATTAATATTTTTTTAATAATTAAAAGATACGTTCTGTTTTTCTGGAAGATCCATCGTCTGTGTCGTGTAACCCCAGTACTGTCAATCTTTGCCATATCTAGAATTCTTCCTACCTAAACAATTTTTCTTGGTTAATAGGGATTTTATCACAAAAAAGTGTACAGTAATTAGATAAAACCTTAAAAGAAAGACTGGGCTCTGTATTAAAACACTTAGGTCGAGCCCTTTTCTCCGTGGCGTCATTGATTCTCTTGCCCGAATGCATTATGACATACTGCGAATCAGATCAATGTTTCTGCTCTCAGAGTTCATCGCGAGGATTTGAGAAAGAACCATAATTGCCTTTCAAATTGCTATTACACCAGAAAATTAGGAAGTACCAATGCAGTTTTAAAAATATCACATTTTCATAATTGTCCTCGTATTTTCTAACCATAGTCGTAAAAATTTTAGATTTCCTCTGCCTTTTCTCCAACAATAAGATTCTTACTTTACTGATTTTACAAAAAAAGGGTTAACCTGCCATTTGTTTGACTCTCGGAATACTACTAGAACTCTAATTTCAAAAGGAGTGGTCACTCGAAGAAACAAAATTGAACGGACGTTGTTAGTGTATAAGGAATGAGAAGAGAACTGCTGGAGCAAATGCGAAAAGTTGTTCATCGCGTTCGTCATGTTCCCTGTAACTTGTTCCCGACACACCGCCCTCTGAGCAAAACTCTTCGTTTATCCCTCAAGGTAATAGGAAGTAGGATGCCAAGTCTTGCCGGAGAGAAATTTCACATCGCAACACAGCGTACGTAGGAGGGAACTTGCCGGAAGCTCGAGTAGCAGGAGTTCATAAACTGTGCACGGTGGGCCCTAGATTTTGATCATGGTGCGGCCCAGACTTAGGAAAATAAATGAAAATCTTGCAGTCATTAAATATAATAACTGCGGACACATTTAAAAAATAACAAAACGAAATATTTATTTACCAGTAAACCTAATTAAGTAACCGTTATTTTTTCTAATTAATATAATAAAAATATAAAATCAAAATTACCAAGCTTCACAATGTTCCAAAGCTTCACAACAAACAAATTTAAAACAAATAATTTTAAACAAATTTAAATTTTTAACACTTTTGTTTTCTAACTTCATATAATATTAAAAAACTAGAGTGCATACATAAAATCTACCGTATCTCTGGAATAATGTGGTGGAAAGAATGCCGCAATAGAGTCCCTCTGACGAAGTGTTGAACTTCATTTCTGCCCACGAGTTCCACATTGAAGAAAACAAAATGTTTAAAAAAATTCATAGCTGCCAGTTTTCTCTTAGCGGCAGTTAGGAAACCTTTATTACGAATACACGTTCAAGGAATACACAATGAAAGCACATTTTGTATTCATTTTGGCATATGTAAAATGAAATTCATTGGAGCCATTCTCTTCATTAGAAATTTTATCATCGATCGCTTCAGAGAAGCAGCCTACAATGAAGTACCCCCGACTAGGAGTTCCCATCTCCATTATAAGAGCTTAATGGAAAAATTAATCTATATGGCTTTCAAAACAAATGAATAACTGAGCGGAAACAGACAAGTACTGGCAATCAGAGAATGGAGGTTAAGTAACATCGAGGAGTAGATCTTCATCGTGCGCTTTCTAGTGAAATGATTTATAAATGCCACATTGATTGGAGCGGGGAGAAGTAATGACCCGGGAACCCGAGTAGTGCTAGTAGTTTTTATAGCTGCTAACCCGTAAATAAATTGAACTATAATAGGACCGGCTATAAAATAAATCTCTACATCGGTCACATGCGTTATTGATTAGCTATCGAATATGCGGTCATGTTAAGAAGTGTTTATTTCATTCGTAACACGTTACGATGGCTTAAACATTGTCATGAGATTGTCAGAAGGATGGCAAAAGATGTAAATGAATTGTTAACTTTGACACATGTTGAGTTTGGTATTATGGTTTGGCCATAAAACGCAACTAATCGATTTAAACATTAACGAAGTTAGCACCAACTTTATTCGTTTGTACAATGCCAATAGCACTCCACAAGTAAAACTATTGAATTCATACAGATTCGCACGAAAAATATAGTGAAGTTATTCGAGGAGACTGCCTTCGATAATACGCCAATCTACCTTCACACAGTGGACGAAATGGCATGAATCCCTTAACACTTTCATACCGAAACAAGAAAGCAAACGCCATCCCTGTGTAGCGGTCGGCGCACGGAATTGGAATTGCCAAGTGGCAAATCGCGACTTGGCCCAAGCGGCTCGGCCGAAGGAGCCCTCCAATTTCAATTCCCATCGGGCGGGGGGCGGAGGCGGGTGTTGGTGCGCCTGGCCCCGGGCGCCGCCCTTGGGACAGCGCCAGGAGACCCTGGCGCCGGGGAATATCCCTAGCGGCAAATGGAAATGACGGCCAACGCGGGGCTTTCGCTCTTCGATGATAGAATACCTATCCGCTCACGATTTCCTTTCCGACTTCGACAAATACGAAAAACCTGGATTTCTGAAAGTGCAGAGCACTCAATACCCGCATGTTCTAAAAGATCGAATCAAAGGGAGTGGACAAGTAGGAGTTAAACCTTCCTCAGAAAAGGAAGTAATGCATAATTCACCTTTCGGTAATGAAACGTATTGCAACAAATAATTTAACATTTACTATCTAAAAAAATCTTACATAAATTATTTCAAGGATTTTTAAATATTTGTTTCTAAAAGTTTTCAAACTATTGTAATGTTATTTATGAAATATTACTTAAAAAGATACCAGTTCGTCTCTTTGTGTGGCCAGTTTACTATATATTCCTACATCAGCAGCATTTCCATTCAGAGTGCACGCGGGAGTCAGATACGCAATATCTAACTCTTACACCAATTCATATGGATCGGCTTCGATCCCAGGCAAACCCATGTGGAAATTGTTGTAGATAAACCGAGTTCACGGCCGATTTCTCGGGTTTCATTCATTTTTTCGTGTATAATTCTGCCATTTGCCCACCATTATTGACACTATTATATCATTAGATCGTAACTCCTTTGTCTCCATGTCCCTGAATCTCCAGCGGAGACGAAGTACGCGCTTAGTCTTGTGCATTAATAAACCTCTCCGTCAACAGTCAACCAAACCGTCAATCAAAGGTTTGGCGCATGCGCAGTAGGTTTCTTTTTGCACAATCCAGCTCAGAAGTGCATTCATAAAATGTTACAGAGGTACAGATTGCACCGGCAATTTCAGTTCTGAATATCCGGCCCCCTTAAATATTTTTAAAACCTTAACAGTGGGAGAGACTTTCATATTCATAATGAAAGTACTACTTTGTCACCGATGTGATCAAGAAGTGGTAGAGATTTTGAATAAAAGGAGTATTAAAAGTGCTGACTTGGGGAGAAGATGTACCTCCCGCTATCCGGTTCAGATTCGGAAGCAGCGCCGTGGCCTCCGCGGCGCGGATCGGAATCTGCGGAGGCGCGCGAGCGAAGGGGGCGGGCGACCGCCCGGCGATGTCGCCGCCCGTATCGATGTCTCGACGAGGGGCGCGGCGAGTGCAGAGCCTTGTACCCGCGAGTGTGTGTACACACGGCCCACTTCACTTCCCGCCCTTCGCGCCGCCTCCGCCAATTAGGGCTCCACCCTTCGCACTTTCAGCCTCCCAAAGACTCCCTCCGCCCTCTCCTGTCCCCGCGCCCGATGCTCGCTTCATCCAGAAGACTCGCCTCGCGTAAATAGGTTAATCAATTATCATGATCACGCGCTCCTGCTTGTTACAATTTATGCGTTGGACGAAAATATGTCTAGTGGAATTTTAGACTAGTGCGATCAGTGACCGATCAAGACTCGATGTACGTTTAATACAATACGATATATTGATTTTTCTGATCAATATCTGATTCAAGTAGTTGCAAGTTACGAATAATCTAATCAATTAAGAGGATATAATCAAATATCAATTATCCATAAAGTCAAGATGAGTTATGTGTCCCCAGCAATGCATTAAGTCTTCGCTTCCCCCCCCCTCCTACAAAAGCAGCGACAACTTTTTCGACAAACAATATTCTGGAGAGAAACAGTACATCTGCGCAGATATCGAATTAAAAACTCAATTTGTAATAATAATAATAATAATAATAATAATTTATCGAATTTATCTATGTACAATGGGGGACGACGAAGTTATTTTCAGTCGGTTTTTCCGTAGCAAAATTGATAACGTTCTATGTCATGTAATTTCCAAAAAGTCATTGGTCGAGAGTAAAACAAAGTTTTGTTCGCTTGAGTAGCACCGGACGCCAAATCTATTCATTGAGAAAAAAAATTCGCTAACTTGCATGTGCACTGTTATTCCCGAGCGACATAAGCAAATTAACTTGAAACCTTTCCTTCTAGTTCGCACGAGTGCCCCAAGAGCGCAGCACAACGCCACAAACCTCGTCTCCTATTATGAACGATCTTCCGTCGAGACCTCTTTTGAGATACATTGACTTCAGTCTTCAGGTGCTGGGGAAGCAGAGCTGCAACAAGACAAATGGAAATGCAAGGTTTACATCTTGGAACAGATTTTCCTAAATCGATTTTCATTCGAAGAATGATGAATTGGGTTCCGGAAGGTCTCTGCAATGAAGCTCGAGAACAAACATTACACGAAGATTATAGGACGCTAAGATTAAAACGGACATTACATCACAGCTCACCGAGAAGTTGCGTTGCTGTTTAAGTTCTTACGACCTACTTCCCCCTACGTAGCTGCCAGTCATGCTTCTCACCAGCACGTTGAAACATTTTCCCCGTTTCCCTATTTTGAGATGAGAATATTCTCATTTCCCATCACTTTAAACAAAACCAAAGACGAGAGAAGGAAAGACTTTATTCGTATTCACTAATACCTCCCCTCTCCCAATGATAAACCTTTCCATACAAATTGTGAATCTTGTTTGTTTGTTTCTCAAAGATAGAAGTAACCTCTTAATGGTTTTCGTGAGAATTTTACACACCCGTTGGTTGTATAAAATAAGAAAAACAAAATTTTAAATTAAAATTGTGCTGAAATAATAATAATAATAATAATAATAATAACAACAAAATTCGAAAGTATTGACCATTTCTTTAAAAATTGAAAACAAACCCGAAAAAAATCTTAAACGAGAAACTTTTTTCGTAGAGCTAAGTGTGGACCCTCCCTCTCAAAGAATGGAAACCGTTTTGAAGAGAACATTGCAAACTGAATACAAGATTTCATACATTTTTAGATAAAAAAAAATAGAGACATTTTTGTGGTCATTTGAGTCTTAAGGGATTTTTATTGCATGTTGGCAGTTTTAATTCAGTGTAGACGTTTCGGTCGCGTTCCGATTCCAACTGATAAATCCTTTACGCGCCTAGACGAAATGCCACAAGTGAAGATACATCTATTAAATCAAGCAGTTTTTTTACCTACAAATGACCAATCATTGAGTATGACGTTTTTCACCGTATGTACATTCTTTATCCGACATCTTTAGACATTCATGCCAAAGGCAGGGAAGGAGGTCAGGAAGTAACTTAGATTCGACTCATTTAGCTAACGTTTGCTAACGTGCTCTTAACAGTGATACTGCCTTAACTTTATTGATTCCATGAACAGGAAAGTGTTCGCAAGAAACGGATGTAATTATGCAGGTAGATGCAAGAAAAATACACATCAAAAATTTCTTGGTAATAATTATTATTCCGAAACACAATTATTTGATTAAACTGACATTGTTGTCCATGGGCTACTCGCCCGACACACATGTAATCCACAAGACTGGGATTTAATATTTCCACGGACAGGCACACAAAAATACTCAGCGTCTCTCTTACACTTCGTTGACATTAAAATGTGAGGTATAACAAAATCAAATTGCATTAAATAAATGCAAAACGAAGTGAAAGAGGTGGAAGTGCCGTCGGTTTGGTTGGAACGTTTTTGTGTCAAATGTGCTATTGAGTTATCCCCGAACAAAGTTCTGGCTTCGGTACCGTATCCGCCAGAGTTCCCACGCCAAATATGTAACCAGAGGCCCGGGATTGGGGCTATCACCGCACAAGCCCCCGCACGCGGCTCGCCCCAGGAGGGCGTGAGCCGCCGCGACACCCGCCCCCAGAACAAGGGGCGCGCCAGGGGGCGGGTTGTTTGGCAGGCCTCGGCCCGGCCCGCTCCCACGCGCACGGACACGAGGGCTGACAGGCGCAAGAATACCAAACTCCGGCGGCTTCACAAAGGCGGCCGCGCGCCACCCGGCCCGAGGCGCCGCACGCCGCCAACCTGCCCTCTCCGCCGCCCACGCCGCCCGCCCCCGGCCCCGCCCCGGCCGCGTGTTTACCCGTCCCGGGCCCTCCCCGGGCCACCGGAAATTTGCAAACACTTTGGCAACGGTCGCAGGTAGCCTGAAAGGCCTTTTGGCGGCGGCGACAGCTTGTCCGTCAGCGGCAGCCGCAACCGCGCCGTGGAATTAGGGAGTTGGCCACATGTGACAAATTCATTCCAAGCTGCGCGTTTACATCTCCCGTTAACGCCGTCGCAAAAGGAGGCGATATATGACTAATACGAAACGCAATGTATTATTGACTTATTTTGATCTCGCAAATCGCCCTCATCTTACACCGCTAAAAGTGGGAGGAATAACTTCATCGTGATTAAATTTCGTCGCAATGCTTCTTTATAAAATTTGCAGTATCAGTTGTCTCATAAACGTACCCTCTTTGAATTTGCAACATGCCACGTGAACAAAACTAATTGAACATAACACTCTGCGACAATTAATGGACTTTTCCATTCAAACTATTTCATTCCGTGATATTTAAGAAATAATGTAATATTTAAAAAAACTGCCGCGTTTGAAAACTTTAAAATTGAATTTTATCTCTTAACAAGTGGGCTCCTGGATAATGCGCCTGAAATTCAATCCATACCATGGCGCGCTACCAAAGCTGATCTGAAGCTTAGAGCAGAAAAGAAAAACTAGAACATAGAGATTATCCCTAACATGGTGGCTCGTAATATATCGGCTTATACAATATGATATACGAACATTTTAACAAATAAGAGAGCTCCGGATCTCGTATGCAAATATTTAAAGTTAAAACCTGCTTTCAGTTTACATTACTCATCGGTACTCTCCATTTACCGCTACGTGCTCTGAGCAACATAATACAACACATTAAATAATGCGAAAAGAAAAAGTATTTCGCGATTTAAATATACAATATATATCAGTGTGTCAGTTATCTTCTTGTTTTCAATGTGCAGGCAATAATTATATGTAATGCGTAAGTGAAAATATATTACCAGATTGGAAATTGAATCTCCTCTTACATATTAGACGGAATAATAAATAAAAGGCGACATCAGCTGTGAGTGACCGTGCGAGTGAGACAGCACTTCGGGCAAACGAGGCGTGTCCCGCACTTTTCGGCGCTCGAAATATTGTAAAGCCGACGGTGATTAAGGCGTCATTCCCATCTTTCTGACGAAAATACAATAAGGTAATGTGGCGTATGTCTGTCGATTCATTAACTACTCGACCGATTTCACTTAACTTTTCACATTTTGTTCTTATTACTATCGGAGTCGTGGAAGATGGTTGAAATAAAAACATTGGCATATGAGGCGTTAAAGATTTATGCGTTTTACGGTGGAGAGAAGCGCCCCTGAACTCCTCGCCGCCCCGTCAGGAAACAGACGCCGCGTCTGTCGCTTCATGTTCTGTACCTGCGATTGGTAAATATTGGTAGGATTATTATTGCAACGTTATCTCGTAAAAGTAAATAAAATTTCTTTGAGGCAGCGTCACCGCAAACACCAAAGTTGAGGGAGAACGTTTTCATAGGATACTTTAACCATGTCGAAAACCAGTACTAGAACAACCATACTCGCGAAAAAGGTTTTTAATCTAATAGAATTTTCAGAACGTGGATAAAACGTGATTGACAATCACTTAACAATAGTAAGTGTATTAACCTGCAATAGCGAAACATGCCGCATTCACTAGTGTTTAAAGAAAAATAACAATGCGTAAAAAAAAACTAAGAAAAAAGTGCGAAAGATGGCTGTGCGAGCCTGGTCGTTGTCCCAGCGCGTAGGCCGAGCGCGGGCCGTGGAGGTCGAAGGCAGTCGGCGCCGGCGGAGGGCGCGCGGAGAGAGTGCGGTCAGAGGTGCGCGGGGCGGGGCAGTGGCGGGCGGGGCGGGGGGCGGGGCGGGGCGGGCGGGGCGGCAGCGCGAGTGCAGGCGCGTGTCAGCGGCGCGCGCCGGCCGCAGCGGCCGAGACCGCAGCGCGCCCCGCGCCCGTTTCGCGCGCCTAAGCGCCCCGCCCCCGTCCCCGCCCCCGCCCCTTCGACACGGTTCTCCGCAACAACGCCTCTGGCATCTTGTTGCGAAATTATGATCGGAGCGACTGTTCAAAGCATTGCGAATCGAACCGGACCTGCTATACGTCCACTTTGATTTTTATCACTAAGTCAGAGCAATGCGATGCTTCTCTCGGCATGTGATCTAGTCCTAGCCATCTGGTGGACCGCGTTTGCTTACCCCCCTCCCTCTTCGTGGTTGTCGACCCAAGTTCCCCTCCTTTTCATACGAGGATCAATAGACTACTTCATCGAAGCTATCGACGAATGGATAATATTGCGACATTTTTAGACTTTTTAAAGGGAATGTGTAGCTTTAGATTAAAAATTCTATATTAATACAATTTTTAATGCGCCGGACTTTACTTTGCCTTTTATCGTGTAGAAGAGCAATCACAATGCAGTCTAATTATTACAAAACGTATTGGCATTCAAATATTCGCCACAAATTAGCAGGACCAGAAGCTACTAACAGACTAACCTATGGTTTACATGCGCCACAATATCTCTTTCTGTTCTCTTACGTGATAGTAGTGTCTAGGAAGTTAAGAAACAACTAATATTTGTAAGTTCGAGGAAAATTGTTTTTTTTTTACTCGACTCTACGTTCGGGGATCCAACCAAACTAACCCACCATCAAAACACTTCGAAATCTAGAGAAGCGCTTCCATTTCATGTGAAGTGAATGGCACTTTAACAGAGTTCATTCAACTCTTTTTCCGTTACTTGCATTTTACACAAGTACTATTAATAAAATCTTTTCCATCTAACTCTGAAGCAGGTTAAAAACTCAACACCAAAGAATGAAAAAATGAGAATAAAATCTACACAACAATTTGAAAACCAACATTTCGCCACGTCTTGTTTTTTTTTTTGTGTATAGTAGCACCAAAAAAAGAAAGCAACAGCAATGCGCCACGAGAGCACGAGACGCGAAACCTCGCCCAGCGCCCTCGCAGCAGTCCGGGCCACGAGGAGCGGAGGCGGGAGATGGCCACGAAGCGGAGAGGAGAGGGTTGGGGTTGGGGCGGGGGCGTTGCCCTGGCAACCAACAATCAACCGGCAGCCTCGCGGCGGCGGCGGCGCTAAGCGGATCAGCAGCCGTATTGAGTTCAAAGAGTTTCATTACATTTTCGATATAATGATG